TAATATCTCCCTATTATGATGGATAATTTTTATCCGTCATAATAGATTTGTTATAAAATGTCATTTTTCTACTGTTAGTTTGGTCGAGGCCTTATTAACTTTTAAGGTTCTTTAATGAACCCTTTCATTCTTTAATGCAACCACCTCGTCTTATTAGTACTGCTCTGATGCCCGTGTATCATGTGGATTAGAAGAGATCTCAAAAGGCTTTATCACCACGCTCCTGCTGTCTGTCCTCAATATACAATGCATGTTAGAGTATTTTCTTTACATTTTGTCATTGATCTCATATGAGAAATTTATATGTTTATGTTTTTGTTAGTTTAATTATCTTTCAATCATATTTTAGATATGTTGTGATGATCCTTCTCTTACCATGAAAGTTGTTCTTGATCGATTTCAATCCATGGTGATCATAGCCAACATAGGCACCTTTGGGTCCTTAGGTCGATACCCCTAAATCTTAAAGTTCCCACCTGCTATCAAGAGCTAATCCCTGCTATCAATAAATTCAAATTTAAGATTAGCCTGATCTCGTATGTATTAGTTAGTTATCAGTCGTAATAATGAATGACAAATTATACAGATAAATTTGTATGATTAAATTTTTTTCCTATTAAATTTTATAGGATTGTATTTTAAGTTTTAGTTTTAATCATTGACATGGGACAAGGAAGAGATTAAAAAAGTTAAACATTAAGTAATATGCAAATCATAAACCATCTAATTTACAAAATCTAAAATGCATCAATTATATGTACAATCTTACTAGTGCTCACAAAATTAACCAAACTAATTAAACACTAATTTTCTATCTCATCCAGAAGTAAATAAACCAAACAAAGCATAATATCATATGATTAAACTTTATAACAGAGTATAGTCATAAAAACGGGGAAGGATCTAAGCAGAAATAGCAGAAATAGTGATACAAGATAGTAGTAGAAGAAACAAGCTGAAGGTATGCGAGAAAAAAAATAATATGCATCATAAGTAAGAAAAAAATGAAGAAAAAATTTGTGGTTAGAACTAAACGGGTAGCACTGTTTGTGAGAAATGATGGTGTCGGTGGTGTGGTCTAGAACCAACTATTTACAATAAGAGTGTGGTGTAGAATGGAAGCAAATATAGAGAGAAAGCAAATCTATTATTAAAATTCTTAATAATAGATTTTTATGAGTACAACTAGTATCGTATCTTCCCTTACCCTATTAGGGGTGACAACGGGTAAGATACACATAATATTTATTCGCAATTCGATTCACAAAATATTAATAGTTAATATTAGAAACCAGTGATAACTAATTTGTATAGTCGAAGATACAAGCAACCTAAAAAAATTGAAAGGGTAAGAATACTTATTTTTTGAATCCATTATAAATTGGAAAATGACACTTGAACAACCATTTTTGACAACATTTAGACACGCGCACACGTGTCAAAATCTGAGTGGTCCATTTTCATTTAATTTTTTCAACTGGACCACTCAGATTTTGACACGTGTGCGCGTGTCTAAATGTTGTCAAAAATGGTTGTTCAAGTATCATTTTCCTTATAAATTTATGTAGTTGAGTCGAGTCATACTTATTGTCTGTGAAGTGAAGTCGTATAAGAAAGATGATAAAATATTTTTTGCATAAAAGTGAAAAGGGTATTAAAAATTTGATGAGGTGGGGTTTGATCGGAGGAAGAAAAGAATAAGCAGCTAGGGACAAAAAATGCATTAGAAGAAATCCCAGTTTGAATTATGGAAGCAATGCTTTTGTGGACCCACACCCATCTCAATTCATATATAAACCTTTCATGCATTTCCTCAAACACGCAACCTACCCTCCACACTCTACTCAATTCCAAAATGAAATCAGCCAATTGGAGATTATTGCTGCTGCTGCTCTTCTTCACCTCCTCTACTTCTTCAGCATGGTTCGGCACCAAACACAAAAGTTCCGGTGCAAGTTCCAGCTCAAGTGGAAGGTTTCGTTCCGATGAAGCCTCGTCTTCATCGTCATCCTCGTCACCGTTCCTACTAAACCGTTTCCGTTCCGGTTCAGCCGTGGTGTTCCCTGTTCACGGCAATGTTTACCCTGTCGGGTACGTAAAAGGACATCTGTTCCTTTTCTCTCAATCTTCTCTTTCTGTTATGCCTTTCTTTCTCCACTCCGTTTTCTTCATCCTTTTCCCTGCTTCCACCCTCTTTCTGTTCCTTTTATTTATTCTGGGAAAGAGTACTCATTACGTTGAAACATCTCCTAATTATAATACATACCAATCAATAATCTTTAACCTGATACACATTCAAATAATAGAGTTTAAATGATTCATATATTTTTTCACAAAGAGGAATGACTTCTCTTGAAAAAAAATTTCAAGCCCTTAATCAACCATTATTATCTCTCTTTTATTATCTTTCTAAAAAAAAAAAAAAAATTTAAAAAATATTTTTTTCTATAGTAGGTTTCTTTTAACATTTTGGAGGTTAATGAATCAATTTTCTTCCATACATTTAACTTATAAGTATTTAAAATATAAACTCCTCAATTTTCATGCAAGATTTATAATATTTATTTATTAATTTAAATATATTTTTTAGTGCCCATAAAATTATCAACTTTTGATTGAGTTGATCATTCTTTTCCTTTTTTTTAATCCTTTTAAAATTTGAAAGAATTGTTTTTAGTCCGTATAAAATGTGCGAATTATTGTTTTACTTTCTATAAAATATTTTTTATTTTTTTTTTCTCTTTCCAATATTTTAAACTGCTATATGTATCTCCAATTTTCATTTTAAGGTATATAAATAATATTTATTTTATGGTTCTCACAGTTTTCTTAGATATCACATTTTGATATTATCATAATTTGGAATGGTAATTTGATATTTTGTTCACCGAGTAAGGCTAGGTAAAACAATATAATCAATCATTTGACAATAAATAGAGAAATTGAACGTGTGGTGGGTCACGTGAACCCACCAACCCCCAAAGGAAAAAGGAAAAAAAAATAGCTCATTGTAAAAATAAAGTTAAATTAAAACTTTAATTGATCTTTAATTCGTTATATTTTGTTAAATATAAAAGGAATTGAAATTAACTTTTCTTTTTAAAATAAATTTTTTTTTTGAAATTTTGGTGGATTTTTAACTCACTCATCCATAACTTATCAAACTAAATTAATATTTTTCAAATTACATGTTAAGAAAATCATACATAGAGTGAGTTCAGACTAATACGACTATCCCATTCTAACAAATATAACATATATGTAGTGTCATATAATATTAGATCAGATACAAACTTTTAATTAGAGAAAGTAAATAAAACAATTACTCGAATTCATAATTAAAATTCATAAGTTAAAAACATACTAAAATCTTTAAAATATAAATCATACAAAGCTCATGTCCATTTTCGTTTTCATTCTTCTGATTCAAATATTATATGCTGGCAAGCTTCTTCTTTTTTTCTTTGAAGTTACACATCTTGAAATATGTACATACATGCCAAGTCACTGTAATTTCTTTCAACTTTCAACGTTCACAGGTTTTATAATGTCACTCTCAACATCGGGCAACCACCTAGGCCATATTTTCTTGATATTGACACAGGTAGCGACCTTACGTGGCTTCAATGTGATGCCCCTTGTTCCCGTTGCTCTCAGGTGATGGATATTCTCACTCAATATGAGTGTTCAGAATCACCAAGGAAATTCATAATGTTTTGTTTTTCCTTGAACAAATGTCATGTCAAATGAGACTAGGCTCATCTTAGCAAATAGATACACGTGTAATGTTGACTTGTTTGATTACATTATCCTGCTAGTACTAGTCTCAAATATTGTTGCTTATTTTCAGACACCACATCCACTTTATAGGCCCAGCAATGACTTAGTGCCATGCAGGCATGCCCTTTGTGCATCCTTGCACCATAATGATAACTACGACTGTGAAGTTCCGCATCAATGTGATTATGAAGTTGAGTATGCAGATCATTATTCATCCCTTGGTGTACTTCTCCATGATGTCTACACTCTCAATTTTACAAATGGAGTCCAACTTAAAGTTCGTATGGCCCTTGGGTTAGTGTATAATATCTCAATCCATTTTTAGTTCCTTTGATTTTGCTATAAATTTAGTTAAGAATCTGAACTATCCACAACAAAAACACTGTTGTTGCATGATCCACTGTTTGGCTTACTCTTTTAGAGTATAGAAATGTCACTTGATCGTGGAAACCCTACATACTCATGATGACTATACCATATGCGTTGTGTTTTGGATGTGAAAATTCTTTGGGGTATCTCATACACTTTTTCTTATTCCTTTTGCAGATGCGGATATGATCAGATTTTTCCAGATCCTTCTCATCACCCGTTAGATGGCATGCTTGGCCTTGGCAGGGGAAAAACTAGCTTGACATCACAGCTGAATAGTCAGGGTTTGGTGCGAAATGTGGTTGGACACTGTTTGAGTGCACAGGGAGGAGGGTATATCTTCTTTGGAGAAGTTTATGATTCTTCTAGACTAACTTGGACTCCAATGTCATCCAGAGATTAGTAAGTAGATCTTCAACTCATATCGTAATGTTGCATTTTCCACTTGTATAGTCATCATTTCTAATTTTTTCTGAACTCTGAGACCTCGTTTCCGTGATCTGTCTCAGCAAACATTACTCAGCAGCAGGGGCAGCTGAACTCCTTTTCGGAGGAAAGAGGACTGGGGTTGGAAATCTTCATGCTACTTTTGACACTGGGAGTTCTTACACCTACTTCAACTCTAATGCTTACCAACTACTAATCTCTTGGGTAAGTTGAAAATTTCAACCATTTTACAATGCTCGAGGCTTTACAAAGATCATATATCATGTCAATTTCATCATGCGAGATTCGAGTTGTCTGTAGAAGGACAAAAGTATAAATAAGTTATTTCTTTAATCATACAAAAAAAAAATTACTTGTTACTTAACATGGATCTTTTGTTTAATTTGCACACGAAGTTGAGGAAGGAATCAGGTGGAAAGCCCCTAAAAGAAGCACACGGTGATCAAACTCTTCCTCTCTGTTGGCATGGCAAAAGACCTTTCAAAAGCATATATGAAGTGAGAAAATACTTTAAGCCAATCACACTTAGTTTCAGTAGCAATGGCAGAAGTAAAGCTCTGTTTGAAATCCCTCCTGAAGGATATCTAATAATATCTGTGAGTCCCTCCTAGTGAATTCCTTCTAGATTAACTTTTTTAAAGTAACAGACACATTTCATGTATGAATGCTAATAAATTTATTCCGGCAGAATATGGGAAATGTTTGCTTGGGCATTCTAAACGGCTCTGAAGTAGGAATGGGTGATCTGAACCTAATAGGAGGTAGGAATGTTGCTATTATTTCTTTTTCTATTGATGTTCGTTCTGGATGATAGATATCACTTGTAGTTTACCGTTCATAGTCTCTTAGCAGTTAGCAAAACTCATAGCTGTTTGATTTTACATTTCATGAGATTTTCACATTTACCACTAGACTAATATTTATAACTTTCACCTTTGATATGATTTTTCACTTCATAACGAATTTCCAAACACACCTAAAGAACTATTCTTTTTGAATTCCCTGGTCGTGTTTATGCAGACATATCCATGCTAAACAAAGTGATGGTATTTGACAACGACAAGCAGTTGATCGGTTGGACATCGGCAGATTGTGATCGGGTTCCAAAATCCAGAGATGTCAGCATTTGAACATACCAGATACCTTCTCTTAATTACTCCTGTCATCGTATAAAATAGTAGCTATTGTCCTACTTTGTAGGACAAAGTCATTGTATAATATGAGAGTCAGATTTAATATATTGGTACGTAATTCAGAGATCTAGCCTGACTATAATTTGTTTATAGAGATCTAGCGCTATATATCGGACTGGTAACATGTTCTAAGTAACCACTCATAAAATCATATGACATTAGTTTGACTGCACATCTTTTGCTATACCCCCAGTTTAAACCCCAAGAAAATATTTCTCTTCCGGTTGTTCATTCCGTTGGAAAAACATCCGTGGAAAGTAATTTTTCACGATTTTATCCAACTCCCCAAAACGCACAACTTACTTCCAGACCACGCCATAAAAGACGTCACGGCTATTTAGTCCTCTACTTTCAGATATATTCAAATCTGACTGTACCAACATTATCAACAATTTATATTTATATGTTGGTTAATTCCATAAACACTATCAACTTAGTACTAATATCATCATCGGCAGCTGTTTTGAGACTTAATTTTTTCTGCAAGTTCTTTTATTATATACCATCGTTTCTGTTCTGTTATTATAAAGTAATTTACACTAGCATATTATAGAGTCTGAAGATACATAGAGCAACTTTTCCATCCTTTGAATGGAAGAATTTTCATTCAGCTGTTTACTTCGAATTGAAAAGTAGAAGTTGTAAATTACAAATATATGAAAAAATCATACTCCAATACCATAGAACAAGAATTTTCCAGGTTGAGTTCCTACAGCTACACATTAACCCTCCAATAAATCATATGAATCGACACCTTGTTGAGATCATTCTGCTCCTACTCTCTTTTACACAGTTCCCTTATTTTTTTTTTCTTCACATCTAATCCAAATACCCATTTCAGCCGAATTCAACGTTCCCTGACCTCTCTAGAACAAAGAACAAGAATACATACTACACGTGCAGCTCAGTGCGCCACACACTAGGCCTGGCTCCACATGTGTAATACTAGTAGTAGTTAGGTGAATGCAATCGCAAACCGATGCTGACTTTACAAAATAATGAAGATATTCTGGGGTAGAGGGTCCCATGTAATGCACATAATGAAGCCCCCTTGTCCAAAAGGTATCGATTTCACATCAATAGGGCTTCCATGAGCACGTCCTGCAAGGGGGAGACGTGGCCCATTTGGTACTCAACACTCCCAAAAGGATCATCAACCGAAAGGTTATTGCCGTCAAAGTAATTGTATTGAAAATCAAACGCGTTTTCAAGATGTAGGCCTATGTCATTCCATTTCGGGTGGCTCTGCACCTCTCTCTCCCACCTCACGTCCGGCGAAACCACCTGCTCTGAACCGCTCGACTCACTCTGCAACCTCTGCATCGAATCTGAACTATCCATAAACAATTGCTCGTTCCCAAGCTTCTCAATCACCGGCTTCGTCTCGTGTTCGAAATTATAAACCACCTCAGTCTCCGATTTCGATGCCCCCGTGTTGTATTTCTCAATCTTCCCTTTCTTGTTGTAAATTCGACACAACACCCAATCGTCAAGCTGCACCATAACACCAAAATCAGAAACTTTTCAAACAAAGCAAATCAAAACAACATAATAAAACAAAGCAAATCAAATCCAAACATACCCTCAGGTTGTTATTTTTCTTGGAGGCTGATCGGTCAACATTGGCCAGCCGATATTCGTGCATGATCCAATTGGTTTTCTCTCCTTTGGGGGCTTTTCCCGAGTAAAATACCAGAGCTTTCTTTATCCCAAGCGCCTTCGGTTTTCCGATCGGTTTATCGGCGCCGGTGGCCTTCCAGTACCCACTTCCGGCGGCCCGATTCGGCCGTGAGCCGTTGGGGTATTTGCGGTCCCGAGGAGAAAAAAAGTACCATTCTTTCTCACCGTAAAATCCGATTTCTGCAGGCAGAACATGATCATGAGTGAATTGAATGATAGAAATGGAAAGTATACGAAAGGCAGATGAAATTAAACGGACCTGGAAGCTGCCATGGATCAAACTTGTACAAATCGACCTCTTTGATGATAGGAACAGCAATTGGTTGACCAGCGCATTTCCGACAAAGATAATGGTTCACCAACTCATCATCCGTGGGGTGAAACCTGAACCCTGGTGGCAACTCTAATTCACTCTTCATTTGCTTTTCCTCTTCTCGCTTGTGTGTTGTTGTAGTTGTTTGTTGTTGGTGAATGTTGTTGGCTCTGCTTTGGTTTGTGATTGAAAGGAATGAGAAAAGAGACTAGGTGGGTTTTATAGTGCGATGGGATAAAAAGGAAGAGAGTGAGTTGTAACACGTGGGTTGGTGAGGTGGAGGGCAAATCCATTTGACAAATTTAATAGAGAATAATCAAAATAATGTAATCTGTGTGACAACTTGACAAGTTTCATTCTAGCTAGCTAGGACGCAGCCTCAACGTGGCAGTGGATAAGCGTTCCGCTTTTAGGATGATTCTGTCATCGCTTACGTCAAATTTTGGGCAGTACCCTTTATTTTCCAAAACGTGGACTCTGTAGTTATTAGCCACGGTTGAGTGTTTGTGTTTAGTCCAGTGTTTACTCCCAACTGTGTCGTGTTTCATGCTCTGTCCAATTGCGTTGTGCCATGTTTCAACATATTGTGAATCTTAACCAAGGCACCCACGATGGCTTTTCTACAGAGCAGTGTCAATATTGAATCTTCATACTCAAATGTGGCTACAATTTACGATTTAAGAGGACAAAAAAACGGCTAATTTGTAGGAAGTATGTCTCTTTTTTGCAGCTAGTCCATTGACGAAATGTAGGAAAGTCAAGGGTGGGAGTGCTGCTTTGTTCGAAATGTTTTATGTTCAAAAGCCAACTTGGAGGTTTTCCATTATGTTAACACCTATACACTTCATCATATTCCATATATAATTGATCGGGTAACTCTAAACATTAAGCTCAAAATTTGTATATTTTTACGTAAATTGAAAATAACTTAATCATATAATTAAGTTATTCAATTTCAAGTTATGTTTTCAGACTTGCGACTCCAAAATACATAATTCCTAGTCTTTTTTCTTGTCAAGCCACTCTTAGATAGAAGACAAATACGAATACATGAACAAATTTAACTGTAAAAATCATTGTTTACATCATATTCACTTTTTATCTTATTTTTGTTCTATTTTACAGGTAAATTTATTATTCTCAATAATTGTTTTATTGTATATTTTAAAAATGAAAAAGCTAAAAAATATATTTATTTTAATTTTGTGAGTTATAAAGTTTTGATATTATATTTTTAATATATTTTGTCATTATTTAATAATTGTTATAATATGTCAAAGAAATCTAACTAACTAAGTTTTATGAATTAAAAATGTTATTATTTTATTAATATAAGTTGAACCACGATTTAATGGTAGTTAAACTATTAAACATGAAATCTGAACTATTCAAATCCTCATCATGAGTAATACATTTTGATATAATCAAAGGATGATATATACAATACAGTTTTTTTTTTTCTTTTTGTTGAGAAATAAAATCCATACTATAAGTTTCATTTATATATTTTTATAGATAAATATTTTGCTCTTATATTTCTGTAAATCAAAATTAAGTTAATATTTTTCTTAATTATATAATATTTACAATTGAACTAATAAAATATTTCCATTTGAAGCGAATTAATGGATGACGATGATGGCAGACGACCTATAATCCTAATTCAACGCGGCGTTTAAACAATACGTAAAATTAGTTTATTGGGGCAAACGTATGCAAAGCATCGTCATCACCTACAATAGCAACCACTGTTTCATTCTTTTTAAGGTTCTTGTCCTCCAAGATATTGAACACAACCTTAGCCAACCACAAGAATAGTCTTCACACGTTTTCCTTTTCTTACTATTTCTATCACTGTCATCAACTCCATCACATAACTATTCATTGAATGTTTTCAGTTCATGAATCACAACTCTTGTTAATTATATCTTAGCATATATGTGACAATGCCTTGTGCTGCGAAAAATCAACATTGTCTTTTGGGTCCCTCAGTTTAATTCTTCAATACTTTTTTTTAGGGAAATTAAAAAACATTTACTTTCTGTACATAACAAACATCTACAACTATAACTATAAAACAATTGCATTCCTTTGGCAACTATGTTTCTTCCTCTGTCAAACAAGTAAACAAAAATACGGCGCAGCACACAAATTAACGCATATTTAATACTACAAAATAACATCTTAATTATATTGACTGAGATCAAGTTAAACCAATTTTTTTCTTAGTATAAATTTCGCTTCGATTTTATAAGATTAAGTTTAATTTAAAGTTTAACTATCATAAATCTATTTTAACTAAATTTATTGTTTTTTAGTATATTATATTACTCAAATAAATTTATTTTTACTCTATCTTACAAAATTTAAAATTGAGTTTACACTCAAAATACATTTATTAAAAGTATTTCAGCTCTGTTAAATTGAAATTCTGTTGCACTTGCACCAAACAAAAAACATGCATGCATGTAGTAGTCAGAAACATTAGAGAAATTATGAAAACTTTTGCATGGTGCTATTTTTTTCTCATGCTCACTTTGTTTAGTGGCTAATTTATGATGCTGTTTTTATGGACCTGGTTCACTTGTCATTAAAATGAAATGGGAATATAGAAAAATAGAAGGTATCAGAGAGAATATTCCTGCTATGTGATGATGTGATGTATAAGAAGAGTTAGAAAGTGGATTAAAAAATTAAGATTCAATTGAAGAAACGTAATGCATGATTTATGATGGTGGTGTGAGGAAGATACCTGGATCTTTCCTTCATATTTATTTGGGCAAATATAAAGATGATTAGGTAAGATATTCAATGGATTATGATACATCACACCCATTTTTTATTCTTCTCACTTTCTTTTCAATTTTCCCAACTTGCATCAAACCCTTTTTGAAAATCCTTTGACTTCACTTTTCTATTTCCCCTTTTCTTCACAGCTCTCACCATAATTATTAGATCATTCTTTATCAGGAAAAACTTAGATATACAATGTTATATAATATTTTGGATGTAAATTTCAATTTATGATGTTTGGTAAATATTTTATTGTATTTTCATTCTAAGTATAACTC